CTCAGAGTCAGTCTCCACCAGGGGCATGACATATTTATTGGTTGGTTGGTTGGTTGATTTGCTACCCATCTTGAAGCATCTCTGGGTGGCTTCCAACATTATCATATATTGTTCCAAAATATGGCAACAACTTTATTACATTTCAAGATCATAAACCTTCACTACAAATTTTTGCATTGATGACACCATCAATAGCTTTACTATTTTTTGAGATATCTTGTGTCACATCTCAATTAGGATTAGGGTTATATATTCAAGAGAAAAATGGCAACAAATGCTCTGATAGCAACAAATATTCAGTACTTGACTTTTTACTTAGAAATTAATATTTCTAAGGTCTTCTAAAATTGTTCACATCTGAATTAAGCATAATTGTAATTTTCTCAGAGGCATATAAAGAAAACTGTTTCAGAGAAAAAGGAGGAGGAGGAGAAAAGGGAGGATATTTGTTTAACTTGAAGCGAAAAAAATGCAATGGAGATGACCTGGTAGATAGAGGTGTAATTATGGTTTTCCCCCAGAACCTTTGCAGAAACAAAGTAAGAAGTATTATGCCAAAGTCTTTTGTTATGCTCAATAATAACATAAGTATTGAAACCAATTTACAAGCAATTTAGAAGTCATGCAGGAAAGCACAATTCTATGCCAGCTAGGCTGCTATATGACTCAGGGGAAGCCCTTTATACAGACAGAAGACCAGCTATATCACTGCCAAGACAGTGAGAATAAACAACAAAGAATCACCATCTCCTGGCTGATAAATGTCAGCAGAACAGTTGAAATAGAATGGCAACATGGACAGCACAGTGGAATTGCGGACTTATTGTTCTAAACCTCTTCAGTCCATGGTTGCAGTCCATTAGCTGTGCTACATGACCATGGTTTCAAACTGGGTATAAAGCACCACTTTGGGACAAGAGGAAAAGAAAAACAAGAACTCTGCTCCCTTGTAATTGCCTCTCCTATCCTTTGGCCATGACAAAACAGAAGTTAAAATGTAACATGGTGCTTAATCCTACAATACTACCAGTTTACATGCTGTATAAAAGAAAATCACCATTAAATGACAAGGCATGATTGAAGGGGACATATCTCCTTGCCTCCATTTAATGAGAGGGAACTATATCTGGGCTCAAGTATCATCCTTTTCAGTTTTCTAAGAACGTTTGCCTCATACCAAATCCGCAAAATATTTGGTGATTATTCTGTGAGGGTTTTCATCCCATCTTTTAAGTTGCTTGAAGTAACTTCTTTTTAAAAATTTAAAAACAAATATAACCAACTTGGCCCTGTGTCTAGGACCCAATATGAACTATTCCCATGGCATATGGAAATGATTGGAAGTTCATCATGAAAACCTAGGAAAACTCATTGGAGAACAACCCCACTGTAACACTTCAAGGAGGTGGGCAGTGAAAGTTGTGCGAACAAGCATTTGATTGGTTCCAAAAACAAATGTTTGCCTGTACAAGACTGGTACTTTGAAAATGTCTTTTCCAGTGGTGGGATTCAAACATTTTTACTACTGGTTCTGTGGGCATGGTTTGGTGGGCATGGTGTGGCTTGGTGGGCATGGCTTGGTGGACATGACAGGGGATGGATACTGTAAAATCCTCATTACCTCCTCACTCCTGGGGAAAGGTTACTGCAAATCCCATTCCCTCCCCACCTCACTAACCTGCTTTCCAGCTCCATTCTCCTGTGCAGGGCAACAAAAAAAGACTCAGCCGATCAGCTGGGACTCGGGAAGCAGAGAATAGATGGGGGTGGGACTACTCAGAGGTGGTATTTGCTGGTTCTGTGAATTACTCAAAATTTCTCCAGAACTGGTCAGAGCCTGCTGAATAACACCACTGGTCTTTTTCCATTCTGGAGTTTATAGAGAAGAAAAATTAAACATAGCTGCTTTTGTTCAGATACAGTATCATCCTTCTGAAATGCTTTGAAATTGTGAACCAGCATTTTAATATGTTGTAATGATTTTTGTCTCTCTTCCTGAGCTCAGATATGATCAGGTGCAGCAACACAGAACACTTCAAATCTAGTCTGACAGGAGTCTTGAGGACAATAAACAAAATAACTAACCCACTGTAACTACATAGCCAAAAAGGCATTAGGAGTTGTTAACCTAATCTTACATAGCTTTTTCTCTGGTAATATTACACTACTAACTAGAGCATACAAAACATTTGCTAGACCAATACTCGAATACAGCTCATCAGTCTGGAACCCACATTACGTATCTGATATTAACATAGTTGAGAAAGTCCAGAAATATTTCACAAGAGTTCTCCACTCCTCTACTCGTTGTAGAATACCTTATGCCACCAGACTCGAAATTCTAGACCTAGAAAACCTAGAACTACGTCGCCTTCGGTCCAATCTAAGTATAATATATAAAATCATACATTGCAATGTCCTACCAGTCAATGAATACTTCAGCTTCAACCATAACAACACTAGAGCAAACAATAGATACAAACTCAAGGTTAATCGCACCAAACCTGATTGCAGGAAATACGACTTCAACAACAGAGTGGTCAATGTCTGGAATACTCTACCTGACTCTGTGGTTTCTTCCCCAAACCCCAAAAACTTTAACCTTAAACTGTCTACTATTGACCTCACCCCTTTCCTAAGAGGTCTGTAGAGGGCGTGCATAAGCGCACCAATGTGCCTACCATCCCTGTCCTATTGTTTCTTTTCTTTCTTTTTTCTTATATGTATCCATGTATTCATAACTATGTTTTTACTTATACGTATTATCTTGTAAGCAATTGACATAAATAAATAAATAAATAAATAAATAAATAAAATGAAACTGAATTTTCAGAATTAGACCCATATGTTAATGTTTTATGTTTCATGTATCATTTTGTTCCATCACCAAGAATATGCAGACCCTCATAAGTTTGACTGGCACTGACAGATTCAGATTCTTTAACCCTCCCATAAACATGTCTGGCAAAAAAATTGTTCCAATAAACAATTCCAGTCCAGGAAGAGAGCATTCTCTGCAGTTGCTCCTGTTCTCTGGAGTTCTTGCCCCCCAATATAATGTTGGCTCCAACCCTCCTATCCTTTCATAAGAGCCTAAAGATGTGGCTTTGCCAGTTGGCTTGGGGCCCCAATGAGGGAACAGTACAGTGGAGATGGTTGATTGAGTAATAACAAATCCTACCTCCTCCCCCCCCCCCTCCCCCCCCCCCCCCCTTTTCCATGTGTCTGCTTTTAAGGTTTTATTTTAACTTTTTATTTTTTTAACTTAGATGTAACTATAAACCACCCAGAGTTACGTTAAGCTATGGTAAGATGGGCAGCCAATAAATTTTATAAATAAATAAATACTGGTTTGAGAGATTCATTCTGAATACCTGATAATACTGAGAATAAATCAGAGAATAAACCAAAATCAACTAAAATAAAAAAGGTAGAATATATTTAGCAGCTATCAAATGCTGAGCAAATGAAGATTTTATACAAATATGTCACTAAGTAGATATGTCATGTGTACAAGATCCAGTTTACAGATGATAGAAGAAACAGTTATGATGAGCATCAATAGAAATCCAGAACAAATGCTAAATAATATTGAATTATATCTGCAAGAATGACTATGCATAAATGATCAATCATAGTTAGTAAATATCAGAACCAGAAGATTTGGAATACAATTTTGCCAAAAAGCCATATAGAAAACATTTATGATAAAAAGTCACATGGACTTCAACCTAGTCTTCAAATAAATACTAACAGTCTGGTATTTTATTTGTCTGAGAGAAAAAAAGAAACAATAATATGCCGTGAAAACTAAACCATTAACTAATTAAGTTGAAACAATACATTCCAAAATGCTTTGGGGAAAAGAATCCTTTTTTAAAACAAATCACTATATCAGCTCTTCAATCACCAACATACTTTTTCCATATTAAAATTAAACAATAGCCCTGAATAAAACAGGGCTATTGCTTAGACTAAAAAAGCAGCTTGGAGCAAAATAGTGGCAAACCATTCCTACAGTGTTGCTGAAAAACAACATGGATATGTCACCAGGATCTCTTCTTTCCTCAGCAATTTAACAAGATGACAAATCTTCTTGTCATTGTCTATTCTGAATGAGGCATTATTTCCCCATCTTCAAGCAAGCTAAATACAGAGATTTAATATTCGTTTGTTGCAGAGTTATCTACAGTATTCCCTACTCTGTTTAACAGTAATCACAAACTTCAGTATTTTGTTTCTCAAAAGTATTCTAATAATCTCCTCTCTATCCATAGTTCTTGTTTGCTGTGCCTTTAGTTCTCCCAAAATGCATTTACAAAAGAGTATTTTGTACAGAAAATATGTTTAGAGAGATTTGTGCATGATTGTAGTTGTACATAAGGATTTTTTAAAAAATAAGCAAGAATGCAATGAATGTATGGAATGGGCTTATACAACTAACACAAAATGGCAATAGACTATTCTTAATAATAATTTATTAAGTTTACATGCCACCCTACATCCAGCAACTCTGAATGGAATTAATTCTTAATTCATATATTGGTGCTTTCTTCCATGGCTTTATGAAAAGATGGCTACCAGCCTTCCTCGGTTTTCTATCTGTCATTTCTAGGATCACCTGTCAACAATGCTAATATCCATGCTGGGATGGTGTGCATTCAAATGCAAACTATTTGAGGAAGACCAAGTTACCAATTCCTTATTGAAATCAAAATTTGGTCAACAGATCTTTCAAGTTTGAAACTTGTAAGTTGTTTGACCAAAGTGCCCCAAGATCAACCTTGATCATTTAAACATAACAGTGTCTCTAAACTAGTGACTCTGCTAGGTTAAATTATTTTCTTGGGCTGAAAACAGTGTAACCAAAAAAAAACAAAACAGTTTTACATTCCTTCAGCTACCTTCAGCTACCTTTTAGAGAAGGGCAAACAGAAACTTCCTTCAGCAGAATGTAAAAAACTGATAAATGTAAACAGGAGCAGGAGGAAAATGTCCGTTAGCTATAAACAGTACACATTTTATTGTTTTCCTACTCTTGTGGCTTTATGTAGTGCTGATGATTTCTGCAGATTATAGGAAGCAACATAAACCTCCGAAGAGATCACTCCTGATACCAACTTCAGTAGTGAAAGGAAATGTGGGTGTTATTTTCAAAAATGTAATAATGTTGAGGTAAGAAAAACCAACCCTAAAGCATTATATATTATGTAGGCTGGAACTGAAGAATGAGGAGAAGTCACAATATAAATCTATTGTTTGCTTTCCTGTTCTTCTCCCTGGAGCATTTGAGTGGAGTATCTGCTTCAGAGGAGAGCAGTGGGTTGGCTGCCATAATCTGCCACTCTGAGAGTATCCTGAAACAGCTTATGTTCCAGCAGGCATGGAATTGACCTGTGAGCTGTATGGTTGCTCTCAGGGGAAGAGACATGGAAGACAGTACATGGATAGAATAGTAAATCTACCTCTTATGTTACCATGAAGCAGATATTCTAATTCAAAGGTTGTATGTCTAAGGCCATTTTCTCCAGAGCATTTATTTCCTTTTCAAGAAGAAGAGACTAGGATTGCACTTATTTACTTACAAGCTGAGCAGAGTCAGGCATAAAGAGCCAATATTGGAGCCTGCACTGCAAGGAGCACACACCAAAGAGGAAAAAATATTCAAAATCTCTCATAAGTAGAATTCTTGGATGGGGAGAAGAATTCTTTGCCTTTATTTCAGAGCGCAGTAGTGAGGTGATGGTGCTGAGGTTTAATGATGCTGGATCTGTTGTCCAGAAATGGTCAGTACTCTGGCTGTTCGAGCCCATCACCATGGGATGGATCACCACGGGATGGATGAAGCTTCTATCACTCATCCCTAGCTCCTACCCACCTAGCAGTTTGAAAGCATACCATCTGCGAATAGATAAACAGGTACTACCATCTTGGTGGTGGGAAACCTAGCTGTGTTCTACACAGGGAGCAGGAGCCGATGCTGGATCTGCCTGGCCTCAATCAGTGGAAAACTGGCAAAGGAAAATCTGAATGATCCGACTTCCTCTAGAGCGCTGCTGGCAGCTGGTAAGGAGCTAGTTTCATACACACACACACCACTGGAGCACCAGTATAAGAAAGGACTAGTGATTGACAACTGCCAGAACTTCTATTGTGTGTAAAGATTATAAACTCACTGGCCTTATATGCCATACGCTATAAATTAAATAAATAAATAAATAAATATAAACAAACAAACACACACACACATACATACTCAGTAGAGGACATGGGGTTTATGCAGATGTCATCTTCAGGCACCAACTTTAATTTAAAGAGCCAATAAGAACTAGAGAGGATCTATTGCCACACTCTGGAGGGAAACTAAGAAACTTGTTCCCATAATGATTTATACAAATAAATAAGTTTGAGACATCCCAAATAAACCTGTTTTTCATATGCATGCAAATATGTATTTTTTAAAAAAATAACCACAACATGTGTACATTAAGGTAAGATATTGTTCAATTGTATTAGCAATGCTCAAAGATTCAGGGTTTAATGGAAAAAAAACTTGCTAAATGTGCAGAAAAATAATATCTAAGTGGAGTGTACAATGGGAGAAAATATACATGGACAAATATTTATGTGTACTTCTTTTATTATTTCCACAGAAAACAGTTGAATAAATTGGTAATTTATACCTGCCAATTCTTATGGAATTGTCCATAGGAAACTGATATGTTTTTGTAAAAGCTGTAATTAAAGTTTTTGTATTGCATGCTTTTAACTGTTTATTATAAAGTTGTAGTTTTATTATTTTGTAGCATTCCAGGCTTTTAAAAGAGAAATGGAAATAAATGAATAATAAATTTAGTAGTAGTAGTAGTAATCTATAGTCTCTGCTTTATGGTAACAATCAGGTAAGTCAACTATCCTTTGTATAAGGATATGTTTATATATCTACATATGTATTAAAAAGATGAAAGACTTCTGTCAGTTTTCAAAAAAAGAGATTTGCAAAGAGAGCAAGTTTTTTTTTTAAAAAAATCTACAGTAATGTTTTGTATGCAGTTTTCTGTTTAGTATATTTTAGTATAATAGTTGTTAATATATTTCAGTATAATGGTTGTTAATACCTTCTAAAAATGTGTGCAGAATATAACTATCTCGCATTTTTCACTGTTTCCTAATCTAGCAATTAGTTTAGATGGAAGAATTTACCTAGAGTTAACTTTCCTTATTTAATCTCAACAGTTACTGTAATTTCTGTTCCTGTAAACCAGTTAAACTAAGTGCATGTATATGTGTGCATATGTGTATATGTGTATTTAGTTCATGTGGATCCTAGTGATTTCCTGGACAAGTCCCTGCAGTTTTCTTCGCAAGTTCCCCCCCCTCCCCATTGCCTTCTTCCTTGGCTGAGAGAATAATTAATCCAAGGTCACCCAGGTGGCTTTTTGTTTACGGTGGGACTAGAACTCAGAGTCTCCCAATTTCTAGGCTGGTGCCTTAACTTCTATACCAAACTGGCTCTCTGGTAAGTAAATCAGCAATATTCTGTAACAGTCTGTTCAGTTTGCTTTCCTTCAAATGTATGTCATAGTTACATTATTAATACAAGCACATTCCCTATATACACAAAGGAAGGGGGAAATTCACTAAGGCAGGGGTCCCCAACCACCGGTCCGCGGACTGGTACCGGTCCGTGGAACAAGTCCTACCGGGCCGCTGGTTTGCTGGGCGCCGCCATCTTTTTTTGATGAAAAAGTGCTTCCGGTGAGCTTTTCCGGGTAGAAAGCTCACCGGAAGCACTTTTTCATCAAAAAAAGATGGCGGCGCCCAGCTGATGCCGGTACCGGGCCGCGGCATAAAAAAGGTTGGGGATCACTGCACTAAGGTACCAATGCAACATATATAATGATAGCAACATTTTGAAGTGTATAAAATAAAGGGCTTGTTTTACCCTTCAACAAATAATTGGTTTTATATCAAAGCGAAAAGAAAAAACATTTAAATTTTTAAGTGAAGAAACAATACACTCATACACTGCAGTAAAACTTTCCTTCAGATCTAACTCATCTCATGATAGATAGTCTTCTTGGCAACAATATGGAAGAAATATGTTATTGTATTTTCCAGGATATTTTTTTACTTTCCAGTCCAGTCTAGTTTTTTTTCTTTGTATATGTTTTACTTGCAGTTTTTCCTTTAACAACCAGCATTTTTTGTGGACAGTGCAGTGACTGGGTTAACATGTTTTTCACACAGAGCTCATTGTAATAATACAATTACATACAAAATTTTTATCTTCCAACTTCTGACCTTAATGTGCTCATTATAATTATAATTATAATATAATCTTTTATATATCAATATATATTCTACTATTTCTCAGTTTATACTTATTTCTTTATTTTTCCCATTGGTTGGGGTTCTTCTATATTAACCTCATTATCTTTAAACAATACTATTCTCTTTTTATTATTTTTATCACTTCCTCCAAAAATACATTTAAACATCAATAACATTTCTTCATAGCATATACTTATTAACCCCTATTAAGTCACTAATATTTTAATATTATAGGTATCAGTATTCCATCACATTTTCAATATCTCAATATTCTATAAACATCAATAAAACCAGTTATCAATGGGATTTAATCAATCCCAAAATTATATCTCTAAATCCCCTGAATTTATAGTCCTTAAAAACTATATTTTCCAATATGTTTTTTGTATCCTGTTAAATTGACTTTCCAGTCCAGTTTTAAAGATAGTCCAAGTCTGAACAGAGGCTGCCATTTAGCTGAGCAAATGCAATACCTTTCTCTAATGATACTGTTGTACCAAAAGTACGTAACAACTACAGGCAACTCAGAAGAGGAACTGCTGCCCATGAGATCTACATTCATACCAACATTGTCTAATGTGAACAGGTTTGATCAGTACTGGCAGTTTCAAAGTCCTATTTAATCAGAGGCAACATGGATTAGAAACAGAAGTGTGTCAACGTTGAAATAATACCTCCTCACACCTGTTCTTTATCTTTCAAATACATTTGCCTCTGCCAAATCAGAGATGTTTGATAAAGAGCATGATTGAATAAATGTTTAAAGTCAAAATAGAATTTGGCTCTCTTGTAAGGCTGATAGCTAAATGAAACCACATGGTTTCTACAGCATCCATGTGGCTTTTATGAAGTATCTTGAGAAAACCTGGAACAAAAGCAGCACTGAAACAGCTGTGAGATCTTGCTCCTTATATAGACCAAACAAGGGGATTTAAATATTTATAACCTACCTGTCATCCAGAGTTGTAGATGTGATAATGTGATAATGTGATAACATTAGTGCCAATCCAGAAATATAATACAAAAAAGCAACAAAGAAACACCACAATACCAATAGAACATTTGAAACATTACTGTAAAACAACAGCCCACAAATATGGCCATAAGATTATTCATTGAAAACATTCTTAAATGTTTTCATGATCCAATTCTTAAATGATCTCATGATCCAAGATGGCGCAGCCTTGGTGAAATGCTCTCTAATGGTTTCTTTATTCTTTATTATTATCTGCAATTCACAACAGATTTCATACTCATAAGGCCATCTGCTAAGAATTAGGCAATGTTTCCTTAAGAAACTGATTCCTCATCCTCCCATTTTTGCAAACACGGGGGAGATTCTAACTAACTCCCCGGTGCTATGGATTACAACAAAGAAAGCAAAGAAGGGGCAGCACCAAAAAGGAGTTGAGGTAAACAAGTGGGAATTTAAACAGACTAAGGAAGGGGGGGGGACTCCTCTCCCTTCAATCTTTCTGACTAATTTACACTCACTTGCTAACAAGATGGATGAAATAGATGGAATTCTGATTTTTACAATTCAGCAGTTCTTTTACTGAAACCTGGCTTAATCCACAAATTCATGGGGACAACACCATTTACAGTCCAGGATTTCAGATGTTTAGTTCAGGTAAAACAAAGGGTGGAGGATTATGTTTATATATCAACAATAGCTGGTCTCAGGATATAACTATAATATATAAATTCTGTGATGAAAATTTAGTCTTTACATATCAACTGCAAGCCATTTTATTCTCCATGTGAGTTCTCATTTCTCCTAATAGCTGTGCATGTTCCTCCACAAGCTTGTGTAAACAAGACACTATGAACTGTAGCTGATCAAATTATGGAGGCTGAAGCCAAGCACCCAGATTCCCTTCCCATCATTTTAGGGGATTTCAATCAAGCAAATTTAAGGAAAGAGCTCCCCAAATATTTCCAGCATGTAAACTGTCCTACCAGAGGCAAAAATACTTTAGACCACTGCTACACAAGAGTAAAAGATGCTTATAGGTCTTTATCATGAGCAGCTGTGGGTCACTCTGACCACTGCATGATTCACCTTGTACCTGCCTACAGACAAAGACTTAAACCATGAAACCAACAATTAAATCAGTGAGGACCTGGTCTGATGAGGCAAAGCTGAAGCTCCAGGCTTACCTTGATTGCATT